AATATTTTCTCTCCTTCCATAGGTTGCTTTCATTTTGTTGATGGTTTCTTTTGCTGTGCAGCCTTTTTGTTTGATTGAGTCCCACTTATGGCCTTTGCTTTTGGTGCCAAATCCACAAAATCATTGCCAAGACCAGGAACTTAAGTTTTCTTCTAGGAGTTTTACAATCTCAGGTCTTATATTAATGTAATATTGAATTCATTTACAATATTAATTTTTTGTGGCTTGATTTTTGTATATGCTGTTGGGTAGAGGTCCAATTTAACTCCTTTGCATGTAGCTGTCCAATTTTCCCAACACCATTTTTGAAAAGAATATCCTTTCTCCATTGAATACTCTTGGTGCCTTGTCAAAAATTAATTGAACATTTATGCATGGATTTATCTCTGTTCTCTGTTGTGTTCCACTGATCTGTCTGTCTGTTCTTATGCTAATACCACATTGTTTTGATTACTATAGGTTTTGTAATATAGTTTGAAATCAGGAGTGTGATGCTTCCAACTTTATTCTTTCTCAAGATTTCTTTGGCTTTTTGAGGTCTTTTGTGGCTCAATACAAAATTTAGGATTGTTTGTTCTATTTCTGTGAAAAATTCCATTGGAATTTTGGGAGGGATTACTTGAATCTGTAGATTGTTTTGGGTGGCATAGGCATGTTACCAGTATTAATTCTTCTAATCCATGTCAATGGAATATCTTTTCATTTAGTTGTGACTTCTTCAATTCCTTTCATCAATATTTATAGATTTCAAGTGTACGATCTTTCACCTCCTGAGTAAAATTTATTATTAAATATCTTATTTTTTGAAGCTGTTGTAAATGAGATTATTATCATATTCTCCAGAGTCATCAGGGATATTGGCCCATAGTTTGCTGGTTTTGGTATCAGGATAATGCTAGCCTCATAGAACGAATGTGGAAGTTTTCCTTTTTCTCTTTTATGGAATAGTTTGAGAAGAATAGGTATTAACTCTTCTTTAAATGTTGGTAGAATTAGCCTTTGAAGCCATCTGGCCCTGGACTTTTGTTTGTTGGTTGTTTTTTGATTGCTGATTCAGTTTCTTTGCTGTTTATTGGTCTGTTCAAGTTTTTCATTTCTTCCTGTTCCAGTTTTGGAAGTTTATATGCTTCTAGGCATTCATCCATTTCTTCTAGGCTGTCCAATTTGTTGGCATATAGTTTTTCATAATATTCTCTTATAATTGTTTGTATTTCATGCTCATGGATTGGAAGAAAAAATATTGTTAAAATGTCTATACTTTCTTAAGCAATCAACATATTTAGTGCAATCCTTATCAAAATACCACCAGCATTTTTCACAGAACTAGAACCAACAATCCCCAAATTTGTATGGAACCACAAAAGACTCCAAAAAGCCAAAGCAATCTTGAAAAAGAAAAGCAAGACTGGAGGCATCACAATTTTGGACTTCAAGTTATATTACACAGCTATAGTGACCAAAACAGTATGGTACTGGCACAAAAATAGACACATAGATCAATAGAACAGAATAGAAAACCCAGAAATGAACCCACAACTATACTGTCAATTAATCTGTAACAAAGCAGGAAAGAATATCCAATGGGAAAAAGTCTCCTTAACAAATGGTGATGGGAACACTGGGTGGCAACGTGCAAAAGAATGAAACTAGACCACTTTCTTATACCATACACAAAAATAAATCCAAAAATGTATTAAAAACCCCAATGTGAGAGATGAAACCATAAAAATCCTAGAGGAGAACACAGTTACTTCTTTGACATCAGCCATAGCAACTTCTTTCTAGATAGGTCTCCTGAGGCAAGGGAAATAGAAGCAAAAATAAACTATTGGGACTTCATCAAAATAAAAAGCTCCTGCACAGCAAAGGAAACAATCAACAAAACTAAAAGGCAACCTACAGAATGGGAGAAGATATTTGTGAATGACATATTTGATAAAGGGTTAGTATCCAAAATCTATAAAGGACTTATACAATTCAACACCCTAAAGGTGAATAATCCAATCCAAAAATGGGTGGAAGACACGAATAGACATTTTTCCAAAAAAGACATACAGATGGCCAACAAACACATGAAAATATGCTCAACATCATGGATCATCAGGGAAGTACAAATCAAAACGACAATGAGATATCACCTTACACCTGTCAGAATGGCTAAAATCAACAGTACAAGAAAAAACAAGTGATGGTGAGGATGTGGAGAAAGGGGAACCCTCTTGCAGTGTTGGTGGGAATGTACACTGGTGCAGCCACTGTGGAAAACAATATGGAGAGTCCTCAAAAAATTAAAAATAGAACTACCCTAAGATCCAGCAATTGCACAAATTTACCCAAAGAATACAAAAATGCTAATTCAAAGGGCTATATGTACCTTGATATAAACAGACTCTTAACTATTAGAGAACAAACTGATGGTTATCAGAGGGAAGGTGGGTGGGGGGTTGGGTGAAATAGCTGACGGGGATTAAGGAGTGCACTTGTAGTGATGAGTACCTGGTTTTGTATATAAGTCTTAAATCACTGTATTATATACACGAAACTACATTGTAAGTGAACTAACTGGAATTTAAATTAAAACTTAAAAAAAAGAATGCTCACACAAACACATATTAAGAGAAATTAAAAACATCAAATTCATACCTATAGAATAGTAGATCAATAAAATGGAGTATATTGATAAATTGAAATACTTTATGGTATGTCAACGAATCGACTTCAGCAAAATTAATCAACATGGGTAAATCTCAGAAATATAATCTTTATAAAAAAGAGAGAATGTCTAGAAGAATATATAAATGTGGTTCCATTAATACATATTTAAAAACCTGAAAAACTAAACAGTATATTGATGAAGGTATATCATATTAAACAATTTTTTAAAAGTGAATAAGTGCAAAATTCAGGGTAGTGGTCACCTCTGCAAGAATGAGGATTGTGATGGGCTTCAGCAAAGATTATCTCAGGGGCTTCAAGGGAACTGGTAACAGTCTGTTTCTTAAATTGGTATACCAATGTTCCATTGTTTTCTGTTACTTTACATGTATGTTATGAATGTTATTTTTATTTCAGTAGTTATTAAACCATTAAAAAATATAGCCAAGGTAATGGTAATATTTCTTCCTTCATTAAATATAAGGAATAAATATGATTTGTCTTACCTTTAAAAACATACATTTTAGAATAATCTTAAGTGCTGTAAAATCAATAATATGGCAGCATACAGCCTTGAAGTCAAGAATTATTTCTTTTCAATATTATAACAAGTGTGTCTACCCACAAAAAAAAAGCAAAAGCAACTACCAAATAATATTTTGAGTTCAGTAATTCTCCTTAATAATACCTAGAAGCCAGAGTTATCTATGATTTTTGTCTACTATAATATTGAACTCTAGCCATTAAATGAGGGAAAGTACTATATTAAGTGAGATAAAATGGGTAGTCTTAAGTGTAATTATCTCTAGTGCAGTGATATGTTGAAAACAAAAACACACTTAAAGTTACCATAATAAAATGCTCCTTGGCACTAAAATCTTAAAAGCGTTGTAGAACCATAGACAAAAATAATGTTGCTTTCTAAAGAAATGAAATACAGCCAGGAATAGAAAGAACTTGGAGAGGTCAAACAAACATATAGCCTAATGCCCCCAAAACACTTAGCTTCAATTTTCTTCAGAATTATAAGACATAAACAATACCTTATCTAACTTGATGTTCTAGAATTCTGTATTTTATAGCCAGAAGGTCATCTTTTAAAATTTTTATTGTAGAAAATTTCAAACTTACACAACAGTGAAGAAAATAGCATTTTGAATCCACATACACCCATCACCCAAGTTTAACAATGATCAAAGCATGACCAGTTCTTAATTTCTCCATAATCTCACACATTCACACACCATCCAATTATTTGGAAACAAATCTCAGCCATTACTTCACCTATAGCGTTTTAGTATATATGTGTAAAACACTACTTTTACAACATAACTGAAATATCTCCATCGCACCCTCCCCCAAAATTTAAAAAAATAATTTCTAATATCACCAAACATGTAGACAATATAAACACATTTAATTGATCATCCTATAATTTTATTTTTATAGTTTATTTGATCAAATGGAAATCTAAACAAGAGGTATACATCTTGATTGGTTAATTTGTCTCTTACGTCTTCTTGCAATTTACAGTTATCACTTTTTTTTTTCTTCTTACAATTTATTTTGGAGAAATCGAGGTTTTGTTTTATTTTGGTTTTTGTCTTTTTTTTGTCCCATAAGTTCCCTGTAGTCTGGACGTGCTGTCTGTGCTCGCATGGCATCATTCAACATGTTCATCTCTCCCCTATATTTATTCTAAATTCATAGTTAGATCTAGCATTTGCAGGACTATTTCACAGGAGGTACATTGTACTTCCTTTAGGAAGTACTTAATGTCAATACCTAATGTTGCTTCCCCTTGTAATGTTAGCGGTGATTAGTGATCGGTATTAGATCCCTATTTTATGAGGGATCACAAAATGTTAACATTTTAGGGGTGCCTGGGTGGCTCAGTCGTTAAGCGTCTGCCTTTGGCTCAGGTCATGATCCCAGGGTCCTGGGATCGAACCCTGCATCGGGCTCCCTGCTCAGCGGGGAGTCTGCTTCTCTCCCCCTGCTTGTGCTCTTTCTATCTCTCTCTCTCTCTCTCAAATAAATAAATAAATAAAATCTAAAAAAAAAAACAATGTTAACATTTTAAATTATTCCTTTTTCATGTATAAGATGGAATGTTTTTTATAAAGATCCACCTCTCCTCATCTGCTATTTTGTTTTCCCCTAGGTACTGATTTTATAAGAAAGGCAGAATAAATGCTTATTTCTTTTTTTTAAACAAGTTTTCAAAATGAGTTAATTCTTTATATTATCTTCTAATGGTGGTCAATTAAGTTGGGGGGAGAGGAGTTTCATTTTTTTAGTATCATAATGAATTCATGGAATAAACACATTTGATGTGCTTTGGTTTTATTGCTGTTATTATTTCTATAGATGTGCAAATTGTCCCATCTCTTACCGGCAGGAGATTCTTCAAGTTGGTAGCCTGAAATTGATTATAAAGAGAACATTTATACCAGAGAAATCAGCAAACACAAATTAGCTTTTCTTCCCAGAAACCAGCTATCAACATTTACCACCTTACTACTGGCATCACATCCTATATTGTCTCTTTCATCATTATCATTAAATTTTAGTTTTGTGAGTGAAAACACATTTAATGGCCACTTCTAGAGGTTCTATGACTTTATGTCAATATATACATATATATTTTTAGTAATTCTGATTGTTGTCTCAAGAGCATTCTCTATATTTAGTCTAATCAGAAAATGCTAATGGAAAAAGTATACCCTGTGTTCTTGTGTGTTCATGATAGTTTGTCTGTGGCCCTTATTTGTGAAAATTGAATTTGCTGGATATGAAATGAGTGGCATTCTCTTTCCTTGAATATCTTAAAGAGGACCGATTTTTTTTCTGGAGTTACAGGTTAATCACATGGTTTCCACTGTTATTGAAGGGTTGAGGGGGATACTCTTCATTGCTGACAGAGATAAAATCCTGCTCCCTACTTGACTGTCTCTGACACCAACTAGTAGGTTTGGCTGGCTAGTTCCAGCATGATGAGGTGAAAGTCTGGGTTTCACACTTGATGTTGGCTGGTGGTAGTACACGGAGATGGGGTCATATGCTTTTCTGTGGTGTTTGACTGGGTAGAGTAGATATTTAAAAGTTTTTGGTCTTGCTAGGCTGTCCTTTTCCTAATCTGTTCACTAAGGAGAGCAGGCATTGGTTGGGGCTTTCTTGTATGCATCTGTTGGCATTTTTAGGTTACTGGCTTCTTTAGCTCCAAGTCAGAGATATTTGCAGCAAAAAGAAAATTCTGAGAACCCACCACCGTGTTATTCTTTGGATCCTAAGGTCCCAGCCAGTCTGCCCCTTTCCCTCCACCTTCCAAAATCTTCATATGCTCATTCTATATAGTATCCAGGTGTTTTAGTTGTACTTAACAGAAAGAATATGAACAAGTACATCTCCATCTTTCGGAAAACTGAACCATAAAATTCATTTTAACTTCATTATTAAAGAGTTTATGTTCCATGTTTGAGAATGCTTACCAATGCCCATGAACTTTTAAAGAAAATTAGGTCATGCTTTCAAAATTTTGTATGTATTTGTTGGATGTTTTCTTCCAGGAACCAGGTTATCCCTAGGCTGGTTTCTCTTTGCCTTGTTTATTTCTTAATCTGTTCAATCTTTTGGTCTGTGCTCATATGTACTGATAAAAGTTATCCCTTACCTCACCTTCTTTTTAGTAAATCAACTTTCAGCAGTGTCTGTTCCTTTCCCTGATGTTTTTTTTAAAATTTAACAATGTTTACTTGGTCCTCAGTTTTTTTTTTAAGGTGTGAAATTTTTCTCTCATGTTCTTTGCATTAGTTTTCTCTTTCTGCTCTAACAAATTCCCACAAGCTTAGTGGCTTAAAAAATGCAAATTTCTTACAGTTCTGTAGGTCAGTTTAAATGGTCAGCAGGGCTGTCTTCCTTCTAGAGGCAATGGCGGGGAATGTTAGCTTGCATTTTTCCACTTCTAGAGGCCACCGGCATGCCTTTGCTTGTGGTAACTTCTTCTATCCTCAAAGCCAGTGTGGCATAGCATCTCTAAATCCTTCTCTTCCTCCAACTCTGATTCTCCTTCCTCCCTCCTTCCCTTGTGATGACCTTTGGGATGACATGGGACCCACTCCAATAATCCAGGATAACTTCCCTTTCTCAAACTCCTTAACTTGAAGCACACCTACAAAATCTCTCTGGGCATGTGAGGTGAGTGAGTGAGCCCGATGTGGGTCTCGGATCTCAATCCCAGGACCTTGAGATCATGACCTGAGCCAAAATCAAGAGCTGGAAGCTTAATGGACCAAGCCACCCACGCCCCCGTAAAATGGTCAGAGTAACTTAATTACTCGCAAAATCCAGCAATTAGAACATGGACATCATTCAGGGGTCATCATTCTGTCTCGCACATCACATAACTGTTTTATCTCCTTATTTCTGAGCTCTTCTTCAAAAGATTTCACATTCTTATTCATTTCCACATATTAAATGACCGTGGGAGTTCCCTCTCTAGATTGAGTGATTTTCTGCCATATGACAAGATTGGTCATTGCATAATGTTGTCCTTTTTCTCCCCTTTGGATGATACGGTTGTTTTATTTTTTATAAAGCGTAGCCTTCTGTCCATGTACATTTTGCCTGCTCTCTTCTTACCTGGATTTTGGGTTTTTTTGTTCACAGACAGAGTTTGAGAGAGCTACATGATTTCTGCTCTATCGACTATTCTATGACTCAGGGAAATGTGAGGGAAGAAATAGCACTAAACCGAGCTTACCATTTGAAAATCGGGGGTCCTGCTATTTTGCTAAATGTCCTTACCAGCACTCATTACCTTAACAGGAGAGACTCCATTTTCAGAATGAGATGTGCTCCTGGTTCCTAATTTAGTGTCTGTTTTTGGAAGCTTTATTTCCACCAAAGAACCTTAGCTCCAGGTTCATTTCCCCCTTTCACACTTTTCTCCCAGCAGCCACCGTCTTTACTACTCCTTCAGGAAAGAAAACAATAAAAGAGATCTAGTCAGTTTTTCTCTCTCTGTGACATCTTGCAGGGTTTTATTGACTTTTCATTACGGCTACTATGGGGAAGGAGGAGCAGCAATCAATCCATACAGCACCTTCCCCTACTTCAGATTTTTCTTAATTTTTGCTTTAAAGCAAGAGCAACAGTTTTTATAGTTGATTACATTAGATTATGCTACTTACCTTTTGTTGCCACTCTTTTTGTTGTTTTGGAGTATTTTTGATAATCATTGCTGTTTTTTAAGTTACTCTGACCATTTTACGGGGGCGTGGGTGGCTTGGTCCATTAAGCTTCCAGCTCTTCTTGATTTTGGCTCAGGCCATGATCTCAAGGTCCTGGGATTGAGACCCGAGACCCACATCGGGCTCTGTGCTCACTACGGAGTTGGTTTGACCCTCTCTCTTTCCCTCTACCTCTGCCCATCCCCCTGCACTCTCTCTCTGTCTGTGCGTCTAAAATAAATAAATAAATAAATAAATAAATAAATAAATAAATAAAATCTTTAAATTACTCTGACCATTTTGTTATGGTTTGCAAAAAAGAATTCTGTGATGTTATTTCAATCAATTTACTCCCAATTGAGAAAAACATCTCCATGAGTCTTATTTTAAATGTGAATAGAAAGACCAATTCAGGATTTATTTACTGATGAATAAAAAGTTGTGAGCTAGCAAGGGGTCAGTAACACACACTCCAACCTCTAAATAATATTTTTTCCTGTTTTTAGGAATTATATTTTAGTTTTAATGATCTCACTAGAGCACACTGCTAATAGTGGCTAAATTATATTTTCAACAGTTTCACAATTATAATCTCAATGGTAATTTAGTATAAATCATTTCCTTTTTAAAGGTTTTATTTGAATTTAAGTTGGCTGGGAATAATGCTTGTTATTTCTTCAGGGTGATATGGATCTTTCATAAAATTACCAGCATTCATAATTTGAAGAGATTCTAAAAGGCATACAATCCAGTCATTTTGAGAATATAAAGTACTCTAGAATTTTTACCAAATGACCACCTGAATGTGGTTTAGATGCCTCACCACCACTTGGGGCAGACCATACTGTTTTGTTTTTTTTTTTAAAGATTTTATTTATTTATTTGAGAGAGAAAGAATGAGAGACAGAGAGCATGAGAGGGGGGAGCGTCAGAGGGAGAAGCAGGCTCCCTGCCGAGCAGGGAGCCCGATGCAGGACTCAATCCCGGGACTCCAGGATCATGACCTGAGCCGAAGGCAGTCGCTTAACCAACTCAGCCACCCAGGCGCCCGACCATACTGTTTTTTGTCTGATTGTTGTGCAAGTCTTACATATTCTTCTGAACTCTTTCTCATACGGACCCAAGCTTTGTAATTCCTCCACTAGGGACTTTATATGATTCTTCTTCATGATAACACTATCAATATTTGAGGGAAGCACGCTTGTCTTCCTCAAACAGGGCATTGATTTATATCAAAAGTGTTTGTGTACCATCCTCATTCTAATGTCACCAAGTAGAACACATCTGGCAGGAATAACCGTGTTTAAGTAGAGCCTTATATATAAGCACAATACTTGAACATCCCTTCAGCTAAAAAGAATATCACAGTTGCATTCTTGATGAAAGTGTGAGATTTTGTCCTTAATTTTCCCTTAATCATTGCAAGCTCAGGGTGTTTAGCAATTTAGTGGTCATTTCAGATTGTTGATGAAAATTATAGTCATTGCTTACTAAAACAGTGCTGTTGAGAAACTTTTACTCTCTTTTTAAATTTTATGCAGTTGGCTGCATGTTCCAGTTTTCTTTCTCACATTCAGTACTGTTGAATTTCATTTTTAGCAGATACAATCCACCAGGATAGATTTGGAGCCCTATTTTGTCATCCAGTGCATTTTTTATTCCCCCCAAGCTTTATGTTACACTATATTTGAAGCATCTTTAATCATATATCAGTCAAGTCCCTTCTAACAAGAGGAGATATAAAGAAGGAGGAAAAAGAGAAAAACATAGAAAGAGCAAAGGCAAGTAAGGGGAAAGGAGAAAAAAAGAAAAAGAAACAAAAATATCTAGCATGTTAAGTATAAAGGGACTATATACTTCATCTTTTTTTTTATGTAACCCAAATTCATGCGATTTAGCAAACTCGAAACAGAGAAAGGTGCAACCTAATTAGAAAAATTATAATCCCGCCTCCTCACATTCATTTTGGAAGGAGCTTTAAAGTATAAATAAACAAATACATAAGTATACTGTTGCCTCTGTATTTACTTTGCTTATTTCCTCAAATTGCTAAAGGTGCTTATCACACATCTTAATTATCTTTGCACATGTATGCATACTTGAAGGAAGAAACAATTTCTATAAATTTTTTTCTTTTCTTTTCTTTTCTTTTTTTTAAGTAGGCTTCATGCCCAGCATGGAGTCCAATGCAGGGGTTGAACTCACGACCCTGAGATCAAGACTTGAGTTGATATCAAGAGTTGTATGCTTAACCGACTGAGCCACCCAGGCACCCCCGGAAGTTTAAATTTTGATGTGGCTCAATTCGTCAACTTTTTCTTTTAGGGACTGTGCTTCTAGTTTCAATTCTAAGAACTTTTCACCTAGCCCTAGGTCACAAAGATTTTTCTTCATTTTAATCTAAAGTTTTGATAGTTTAAATATTATTTATTTATTATTTTTTTTTTAGAGAGAGCACATGCTAGTGAAGGGGGGAGCACAGGGTGGGGGAAAGAGAGTATCTTAAGCAGGCTCCACACCCAGTGTGGAGCCCAACATGGGGCTTGATCTCACACTCCTGAAATCATGACCTGAGTTGAAATCAAGAATTAGACACTTAACTGACTGAGCCACCCAGGTACCCATAGGTATTTTTTTGAAATCATATTGGGCTAGATCCTGATATTCTGTTTTATTCAAGATGACAATAATGAGATAGATGGAAAGATGACAGGGGTTATAATTATAAGTAACTAAAATGCTATATAAAACTCTGTTCACCATAGGGCTACATAGAGGTAGGCAGAAGAGAGTGAGAAAGACTGGAGTCATATTTGAACAAGTAGGGTTGCTGAAACAATGGTACTTGAACCTCTTGAAATTCTTTCATAAACACAATTGAAGTGAGAAGACATCTTCAAGAACCCCCAAAATATATTTTTAAAGGTACAAACTTGGAATTAGCAAATAAATGTGTCCTAGGGAGCTAATACACAGCATAGAGATTGTCATCAACAATATCGTATTATAAATTTCAAAGTTTCTAAGAGACTAGATCTAATTGTTCCCATCATAAAAAATAAATGATAATTATGTAATGTCATAGAGGTTTTAGTTAATGCTATGGTGGTAATCATATTTGCAAATTATAAATATATCAAGTCAACATGTTATACAACCTTAAACTTACACAATATTATATGTCAATTATATTTCAATTTTAAAAAAAGCAAAATAAAAATGGGTAAAGACAAACTGGCAGCAACTAAACTACCTGTTCAATATCAGAAGCCATACTAGAGAAAGTAGAGGGAAAGCAAAGAGCCTTGTGAATGAGCTTAAACACAGAAAATTCCAGGTCATTATCATGTATTCACTGTAAACCCTCTCAGTCCATCCTCCAAAACAGCAGCAAAAGCTGGAGGGCACATGGTAACCATCATTTTGGGTGGGAGTTCGAGGAACTTTGGGAATGTCTGCAAATGATAAAGTTATCTGGGAGTCTGAGTTCTACGAAATCTAGAAACCTGCAAATAAAGCACCTTTTCAGGTCAGTGTTCAGCATTGAGGAGATACTGCTTGGATGGAATCCAACTTGAGCAGATCAAGGTGAATCAGAGCAAGGGAAAGTGAAGATTCATGTAAGGGCTAGGGAGGACTGAGGTGGGTGGGGAATTGTGGAGGAAGTATTCAGAAAGTGGAGACCATACTTGTAATTTGTCAGTGAAACAATGGAGGAGGGGGACCTAGGGTGGTGAAACCGCAGGAAATACCCTTGCTCATCCCTCATTCCTAAAAATACAATATGGCTATTTTACCTCTAAATGTGTAACAGAAAAGGTCTGCAGCACACTCTCATGCAGTGTCATTATGATAAAAAAGAAAACAGGGAAAAGAACATCCCTATGTATAATGAAAGCATGTCATTAACATTTAACCACAGAGCAGATAAAAACTGTAAAAATTGTAATAGAAATTGTAAAATATTTCAAAATAAATTAAAAAATAAAAAATAGAAGTTTAATAGAATAAAATAATACTAATAAAATAAATCAACAAGGTAAAAGAAAAAATTTAAGTGATGGAAATTTAAAATAATAACAAATCAGAAAGAGAAAAAGAGTGGAGGGGCAGGCAAAGAGTAACTACATTACCTGAGAAAATGGGCGAACACTATCTCAGCTAGGTGATCAAGGCTAACATCTATAATAACATCATGTTTAGTGTATGGACTCGATTTGTTATGAAGAAAATGGCACTAAACCTTTGTAGTCTTCCCCTCCCCTAAAATTTATAATCCTGTCCAATAAGAAGAAAAATATAAGACAAACCCTAAAGGAGAGATATTCTACAAAAGACCCGACCAGTACCCCTGAAAACCATCAAGGTCACCCCCCAAAAAAGGAAAGTCTGAGAAACCCAATGATTAAATGTAATCCCAGAGGAGATCCCAGCACAGAAAAAGGACATTGGAACAAAGCATGGACTTTGGTTAATAATAATAATGTGTCAATATTGGTCCATTAACTGTAACAAAAACACCATACTCATGCAAGATGCTAATAGTAGGGAAAACTAAGTTTGGAACATATGGAAAATCTCAGTACTATCTTCTAATTTTTCTGTAAGTCTAAAACTGTTCTAGAATAATAAGTTTATTTAAAAACATAAAAATCATTTCAGCATGAGGATTAAACAAAACAGAACACAAGAACAAATAAAATGAACAGACCATAAAGGAAGCAGGAGATGTAGGGAAGAAAAT